TGCATTAATTAATTAATAATTATGCATTAATAATTCTTATACAGCTGCTATATCTTGTATTGCAAATTGGACATCGAGAACTTTCTAAACGTTCAATACACTGATGACAACAAGCGTGATGACCACAGGGTATGAAAGCATGTGTGCGTTCGTTAGCAAGACACACCGTACAAGTGTCTGTAGAAGATACTTCTTCTGAAGTATTTTGATTATCCTCGAGATTCCAATTCACAGTGTGGTATGGAAAGTCTTCTTCTGTAGAGGCACTATTGTCGAGTAAAGATGAATAATCATCTTCGGGTACTTCGTATATCCATTCGTCATCTGTAGAAAAATAAAGAAAGTTCACAGTATTGTACATACCAATATTTATATATCAAAATTAATTCGAATATATATTAGAACAGTATATTTGAACTGCTTAGTACTTTCTGTTCCGTTAAAATTATCTTCTGTAATAACGTTTATCTCAGATTGCTCATGCGTTGTCTGTACACTAGAACTGTTTCCATCATTATCTAGAAACAAATAGATTTTGCATTTTGAATATTTAATGTACAATAATATAATTTTTTGTAGGTAGATATATGCAAGTATTAAAAATAAAATCAAGAATAAAAGATGTAAAAAAACTGAAATACTTGTAAAACACGAAAAATCACTTTTATTACCTAAACTTGTTTCAAGTACAATGGTTTCCTCTTCTCCGACTGCATCTGTTTCCTCCTCTTGATTAGATGTATTAGCAATATTTGTTTCAAGTTGCTCATGCGTTATTGTCTCTATACGGGAAGAACTCTCTCTATTGCTATCTGAAAACAAATAATTTTCACAGATTTTAAATATCCATATGTAATAAAATAATTTATTGAAGGTAGATATATGTAAATATTAGGATATTATCTCTTAACATTAAATTCAAAATAAAAATTTATATACACACATTTATACTAGAGATTGCCTTCTATCAGCTAGTATCATATTTTTTAAAGATTTTTCCTAAATTTTAAGAAAATAATGTACTTCTAAGACACAAGAAATAGGCTTTGAGAAATTGAAAACCAAACCAATGTATCCAGATTACGTTCATGAAAATAACACAGATAAAAATATAATACTTTTAAAAAATTACAAGAATGTTGAACTTATCCATTATCATAATAAGAATAATTACTATTGTTTAAAATGTCATTTATAAAAAAAATTATTGAAATAAAACTTTCAAATTTTAAAATCTCGATATATGCTAACATACGAATATGTTAACATATGAACAAGAAACAAACATGTACAAATACGTATCAATTTATAAGCTCATTAACTAAACAGATTATATTGGTGACTTTTTTCTATGAATTTCTTTTTCTATAAAAACAGTTGAAAAAACTAAGATATTTGAAAATGATTTAAAAAATCATTCTTATTACCTGCACTTGTTTCATGTATATTGTTTATCTCTCTTTGATTAGGTAAATTTCTATGTCTGCGTCTGCGTCTTATATTTTGTCCCCCTGAAACAAAAAATTAATAATAAACATATTAATAATAAACATATAATTTTCTAAGGCAAATGTATACTATTATTATGCATTTAAATTTTCTTATCCTCTTGCTATTTATTTCTTAACTGTTTTAACTATTATTAATTTTTATATACATATAAAACAATTTTAAAAATATAGCATAGCTTGTTTTATTACATTTAGTAAAAGGAAAAAAAATCTTAATAAACTTGTTAAAAAATGTTCTTAAATAAAAGAAAAATTAATAAAGTTAGTAAAATTAGTAATATTTACATGTATGGAAGGTTTCTTCTGTATTATCCGAAAATAACTCCACGTCTACAACATGCTCATCATTTATATTGATATCTGCAAAAAAATATATTTTTTTACATATATTTTTATTCTTGAAATAAGTGTCATAACAACAAATTAATAAGTTAATATGGTAAAAAAATAATTTAATTTTGTTTAAAGTATTATAATGTAATATACACAGGGTAAATGTTGTACTCTTGACATCGGTCAAGATACTTCTTACATTGATTATGAGGGAGTAGAAGCGATTATGTTAACAAAAATGTCCTATACCGTTTTGTGAAATTTGCAATAATAATCAAAGATATTGATGAAATTGTATGAATGCGAACGCGGTCTTTACGGAACACCCTGTGTATATATGTTATATATATATATATATATATAAAATGTATATTGTGTGTTTATGTGTGAATATATATATGTATATGTATTCACACATACACGCATTCACGCGCACACGCACATCTAATAGGTATGTTTGTAATACATTTACCTTCTAATAATGTCATTTGTTCCATTTGAAACATATTGTTTCTGGTAAACATTAATAAAAATTCCTTCAGTGACAACCTAAAGAAAATTAATTTTTAACAATATAATTATTATGTTACGTTTATTATTATGTTTACTCGATTTAATACGCAAAAAAATACGAAATAATAAAATAATACCTTCCACTAACTAGGTCCTCTTGCGCATTTATAATTTTAGAATCGAGTTCCCTATTTGCTCTTGTACGAGGTCGTCGAGGTCTAATACCATTCTTTAAGCGACGTAAATCTAATTCTTGGTCAGTAATCAAATGTGATAATTTATCTGGAAAAAGATTTTTAAATTGGAGCCTTATTTATACTTATAATGTAACATCACATATGTGACGCAAATTTTGTAAAAAAATACTATAGGTCGTCATACATTTGTGATAAATTACGTAAATTGTCTATTTCTTACAAGGAATGCATGCATACAATCACGTATGTATAAAAATATTTTATGTACTTAATAGAAAATATTTTGCCATTATATTGATACAAACATTACCTAAAAATGTCCATACATTTGTATTCCTTGTTCCTATTTTTTGTACTGCGATATTATGGAAACTTTCCACTATGTTGTTAGTACGTACAGGACAACGGTAGGTACTAATTTTTGATGCCATGTTGGACCAGGTAAGTCTCAGATATGACATAAATTGTAAAATATGTGGATATTCATTTGACAATAAGTCAGCTTCAGTTTGTATGATGGATAAAGCTTCTTGAAACTTTTCTGGTGGTAACAAAGGCAATGTCATAGTCATTGACAGTACAGTTTTTGTAGCACTTGAGAGGTGTAGTTTTCGCCATTTACGCAGAACAGCCTAAAAAAGAAGGAAAGAGATGTAATTTAATTTAATGCAATTTTTTATATTTTTTATAACATTAATCAATCAAAAGACATAATGTCTTATCACGTATGACATATATTTGTAGTAAAAGACTCCGAAATAAAAGAAATGGTAATTACGTTAAAATAATAAAATATAAAATAATATTTGCGATATATTTAGCATATTTGTAAACATTTTTGTATTTTTTCTTTTACTCTTGAGCAGTCAATATCAATTTTAGTTAAAGACGTAACATAACATAATATACGAAATTCAATTTTTACGTATATACAAAAAGCAGGGCCAATTGGTTGTAATATCAACAAATACTTTCGTAACTTATATTTAATCACAATTCGTGCATAATACTCATATTACTCTTTGAAAAAAGTACAAAAATTCAGCATAAATGAAGCAAGTAACTTATAAATTTTTAGTGACATATTGTCGAAGTCCAATTTCTGCGATATAATGGCAAAATATAACAATATTAATAAAAATATGATTATATATACCTGATTGAAGTGAAACCAACATCCAGTTAATTTAGCTGTAGTAAAATTTTTATTTAATGATTTCACTGCAGCCATTTCGAAATCACTCATAATAAATTTTATATTTTGTTTAAGTTGTGGCACAAGTTCTATAATTTTGTCCCATAAAGCATCATATAAAGTTGTTGTACGTACATCACTCATTACGAATAATGTTGCAATGCCCTGAAAATACAAGTTATAAATAATGTTTAAAATTTAAAGGAACATCTTAAAATTATAATATATACTTACTGTATCCATGTATCGTATATGTACAGTGTAAAGCTGTGCAATATGAGGCTTGCGGGGGAGAACCTTAAGAATAATAAATAAAATTAGATTTAAAATTGTACAATATTATCTGTTACAATATTTTGTTGTACTATTACGATTTTTTTAAACATAAAAAAATTAATTTAATTTCTTAATTTCGAGAACAGATATTTGTACTTACAGAAAATGTTCCATCTACGTAAATTTCAGTAGTAGAAGCTAATGCATCTAGTAAATAATTGGTTGATAAAATTATTGCAGTTTTTCCATTCGACGTAGTTATATTTTCTTTATAAATATTTTCAATTATGTCAGAGTTTTTTAGAATATCATATAATGATGCCAATGTATCAGGTACACGTGGTTGGCTCTTTGTACGTTCACGTCGCATGTTACATCTCATAGACGTAAAACTTAAATATTCTGCTGCATCTGGATTGCTAGAAACAAAAAATATATTAAATATAATGCAATATAAATTTTAATAACAGTGACACAAATATACAAAATAATTGACCTTTTATAAAGTTTAAATAAATTTCAGTCCAATATGTCAAACATTAATTAAGTATAATAAAAGTAAAACAAACTTTTTATTAAATTTTTATAGAACTCTAAGTAGTAAGTTTTATATAGTTTATAAAAAAGACAAACGCTATATTAATTACTTAAAATTCTACAAGTTATTAATAAAGACTGATTTAAAGAATAATTGTAAGTATTTCAGCAATTATATTTTAGTAATTTTAAAAGCATTAATTATAATATTGATAGATAATTGAAATTTATAAATAAAAATATTTTTTTCAAGTTTTTTTTATAACAATATTATACATGAAATTTGTTACTTTTTATAAATCAAAAATTTATGACAATTATTTTAAAAAATTGTCATTATATTAAAAAATTCCTTATTAAAAATGCGATTATTTTTATAATATAAATGATCTATTAGTATAAAATTAATAAAGTTACACAAATTTTGCAAGATATTGAAGAAAAAGTATATGACAAATAAATTAGTAGGTCTGTGTTTACATACAACTTTATTTTATTAATAAGCCTGATTGCAACCTGGACATAAAAAATATTTTATAACATATTAAAAATTATTTGGATTCTATATTTTATGTTATATAGAACTTTAGGACGAAGGCGGTAAAGAAATAAAGTATAAAAATATACGTATAAATTAGAAAAATATAAAACACAAAAACTAGATTTTTATGAAATACATTATAATAAGAGTAAAATTAATAGAAATGATGGTGTTGTTATGTACATTAAAGAAGGAATTGAAAAAATAACGCAGGTAATAAAAATTGATAGATTAAAAATAATGCTGTTATAATGATTGAGGAAAATCAAAATATAGAGATTTCTGTATTATATAGATTATACGATTTTTCCAAGACTAAATTTATAATGAACTTAAACATTCTTAAGTAAAAATATAAATATCAATAACCATCTAGTCATAGGAGATTATAATATAGATCTGTTAGAATTAAACAGCTTAGATCAAGAACTATTAAACAATTTCTTAGAAAAGGGTTATATACCATGCTTTCAAAATGTTACACAACCTCTAGATAATCCAGCAGAAGGTAAAGGATCTTGCATTGATAATGTATTCATAAAAACAAACACTTTAAATTATAAATCTTACACAATAACAAACAAGTTTACAGATCACTATCCATTATTTGTCAGCATAGATAAAATAGATACGAAACAAAAAATAAACAACTCATATTGTGGTATTAACTATAATAAATTGATAAATATAACCAGTAAATTAAACTGGAACAACATATTAATGCAGGATCCTAATATGGCGATATAATTAATAATAAATGAAATTAAAGATTGTATAAATGAAGCCAAATATGATAAGGAAAAGTACAAAAAGAAAAAAAAACAAAATAGTTGTACCTTCTACAAACTGAATCAAATATATCTTTTA